GTTGAGTTTTGTTTGGCTGAAGGGGTAGACCGTCCGGGAGGAGGGGGTTGGTGCGGCGGCAGGGTGGAGTAAAAGCCTTCAGACAGCATAAAAAAGATGGAGTATTGTTAATTTAAGCATAGTAGTTGAGCAGGGATAAGTAAAAGTCTTCAAATGTGGATAAAGGAAGATGGAGGACTGTTAAATAAGTAATATTAGTGAGTAAAAATCTTCAGATAGTATAAAAGATGGCGGACTACTGTTAAATAAGTAATATTAGCGGGCCAGGGTGGAGTAAAACACTTCAGATAGTATAAAAGTAGATGGAGTGCTGTTAAATAAGTAATATTAGTGGGCGAGGGTGGAGTAAAAGCCTTCAGATAGGATAAAAGAAGATGGAGTGCTGTTAAATAAGTAATATTAGTGAGTAAAAATCTTCAGATAGGATAAAAGATGGCGGAGTACTGTTAAATAAGTAATATTAGTGGGCCAGGGTGGAGTAAAACACTTCAGATAGTATAAAAGTAGATGGAGTGCTGTTAAATAAGTAATATTAGTGGAGCAGGGTGGAGTAAAAGCCTTCAGATAGTATAAAAGTAGATGGAGTGCTGTTAAATAAGTAATATTAGTGGAGCAGGGTGGAGTAAAACACTTCAGATAGGATAAAAGAAGATTGAGTACTTTTAAATAAGTAATATAGTGGGCCAAGGTGGAGAAAAAGCCTTCAGATAGGCTAAAAAAAGTGCTGTTAAATAAGTAATATAGTGGGTCAGGGTGGAGAAAAAGCCTTCAGATAGTATAAAAGAAGATGGAGTGCTGTTAAATAAGTAATATTAGTGGAGCAGGGTGAAGTAAAAGCCTTCAGACAGCATAAAAAAGATGGAGTATTGTTAATTTAAGCATAGTAGTTGAGCAGGGATAAGTAACAGTCTTCAAATGTAGATAAAGGAAGATGGAGGACTGTTAAATAAGTAATATTAATGAGTAAAAATCTTCATATAGGATAAAAGATGGCGGAGTACTGTTAAATAAGTAATACTGGTGGGCCAGGGTGGAGTAAAACACTTCAGATAGGATAAAAGAAGATGGAGGACTGTTAAATAAGTAATATTAGTGGAGCAGGGTGGACTAAAAGCCTTCAGATAGGATAAAAGAAGATGGAGGACTGTTAAATAAGTAATATTAGTGGAGCAGGGTGGAGTAAAAGCCTTCAGATAGGATAAAAGAAGATGGAGTGCTGTTAAATAAGTAATATTAGTGGAGCAGGGTGGAGTAAAAGCCTTCAGATAGGATAAAAGAAGATGGAGTGCTGTTAAATAAGTAATATTAGTGGAGCAGGGTGGAGAAAAAGACTTCAGATAGGCTAATAAAGATGGATTACTGTTAAATAAAACGTATTAGCAGGCCAGGGTGGAGTAAAAGCCTTCAGATAGGATAAAAGAAGATGGAGGACTGTTAAATAAGTAATATTAGTGGAGCAGGGTGGAGTAAAAGCCTTCAGATAGGATAAAAAGATGGAGTATTGTTAATTTAAGCATAGTAGTGGAGCAGGGATAAGTAAAAGTCTTCAAATGTGGATAAAGGAAGATGGAGGACTGTTTTATAAGTAATGTTAGTGAGTAAAAATCTTCAGATAGGATAAAAGATGGCGGAGTACTGTTAAATAAGTAATATTAGTGGGCCAGGGTGGAGTAAAAGCCTTCAGATAGGATAAAAGAAGATGGAGTGCTGTTAAATAAGTAATATTAGTGAGTAAAAATCTTCAGATAGGATAAAAGATGGCGGAGTACTGTTAAATAAGTCATATTAGTGGGCGAGGGTGGAGTAAAAGCCTTCAGATTGAATAAAAAGATGGAGTATTGTTAAATCTTTTGCTCTTAGAGAGTAATTCCAATCATATTACATAACATTGCTCCTTTTCTGTTTTGTTAATGGCACTGAGCTATTAATTGTTTAGTTTAAGTGCAATTAAATAATCTATTTAAACTATAACACTCAAACTATTTTCGAGACATCTTCATGTTAGCAAACTAAATATCGGATGCTGCTTTTAGAAGTGACGCAGAGCTGTGTAAGCGTGGTTACAGACTGCTCATAAATCAGCGCGGAGAGGCCCAGATTTGCATTTTAATAGCTGGAGGGATTTGTGTTAATTTACGCTATGTGGGGGTTACACAGAGGTCCGCAGGATGGGTGGGGGTGTTTGGGGTGTTCATTCATGAAGCTCAGATACTCTCTTTGGTCAGTCCACAAGCTAATAACAAAAGACAAAGTGTTGAATCTCTATATACTAATAATCTTATCCATAATATAACATGTATCACACAGGCCCCCGTAGCCAGCCTGGTGAAAAAGCTGGTTCTGTTTTTCTCAAAAACTGGACCTTTTTGCAGTTATACGCCTAATTTTCCATTCATGATTGGGTTAATGACAGTATTTTTATTTGGATTAGATTGTCAGATGGCCATCATAACCACACTTTTTAATGTACCAAACATATTTCCTAAATAATTAGAATAAAAAAATATGAGTACTTATTTTCAAAACACAAATGTATTACATATTAGAAAAACAAACAGGACTCTGTTAAAGATTTCAATTGAAAACTGCAGTCTGTTGTCATTTATTCAACCCAAGCGCATTCTTGGGCCTGCGTAGGCCTGCGGACGTTTCTGGAGACTGCGATTTATGTGGCCGGAGGTACGAATGGCCGCGTTTTGTTTTTCTCAAGCGAACGCTGCGGGGCGGTGTGACGTCGCTCCTCCTCTTTGTGCTCGCCGGCTGACGGCTCGCCTCCAAGTGGAGGGCTTTCCCGATGCAACCAGTTTGTCCGCTTAGCTCTCAGTGTTACGTCGGCGGAGCGGAGGCCCGGAGGAGGAGGAGCCGGCCACGGGGACAACCGGGATCGAGTCCGGGGAAGAGCGGATCCAGAAATCAGGTAAGATGAAAAACAGAATCCAAAAAATAAGGAGCGAGAACGCGGCGAGATCTGAAAACGCGGTCAAAATATCGGAAGAGGGCTTTTGCAAATCGTCGCTTGGGTTTAGGGAAGGAGGAGGAAGAGGAGGGCGGCTGGGTCGGCCGATTGGCCGCCCGCCCGGTCGATCGTTCAGTCGTTCAGCCAGTCAGTCGGACGGACGGTTGCTCCACAGCGGCTTTTCACGCGAGAACAGCGCGAACGGCGAGCGCTCCCGAGAGGCGTTCGAGACGCGAAAAAGCGCGCACAGCGGCCTCTCGCGAATAAAAAAAAACTGCTCGAATACGTACCTCGCAGGACGTATTTCACGGTCTGCAGAAACGTCCGTGGGGCTACGTTCGAGATGCGAAAAAGCGCACACAGCGGCCTCTCGTGGATTCGCGAAAACAAAAACTGCTCGAACATATATATACCTATATTATACCTAATATCATTACCTATATATATTAATTATATCAATATATGTATAGGTATAATTATATTATTACCTATATATATATACCTATAATAATATATACCTCCCGGGACATATTTCGCAGTCTGCAGAAACGTCCGCGAGGCTACGTTTCCACAATGAGCCCGGGTTGCATTTATTAGGCAAATAACAAATGACCAGCACATTCAATTTCCTTCATTTGGCCATTTGAATAAAAAAAAAACACAATTAAAACATAATAATAACAGTATTAATGTTGAGCGTCACGATTTTTCAAGCCTCTCTTGTCAGAAAAAGTACATTAGAAAATTAATGGATGGCAACAAAAGCTAAAATAGTATTCAAATTAGCTTAACATGGTCCGCCTTCGGTGCTTCACACCTTTTCATTGCTCATTTTTTTGGTTTCAAGAATAAGGCCTAAGATTGAGAACAAAAGTTCCTTGTAAAATGTTTTCTCTATTTAAAAACAATGCAGCAGCATCTCTTACGTCACATTGTATAATGACAATATTTGTTGGCATTGGCCAACATTGAAGTCACACCGAAGCGACAGCCGACAGAGGATTCTGCTTGGTCTTAAAGCCTTTTTTGATGGGACATTTTCATGATTTATGATAGTCTAGTAGTCAAAATAGGACAAATGAGCTCCTGTATGGGACAAATTCTGGACCTTTGTCAGTGAGGGGTGGGTCTTTCGAACCAACCAAACCCCCCCTGGCTATGGGCCTGTCATATAATCATATGTAAAATACACTTGCATATAATTATTACAATGTAATAATGTAATTACATATATGCATTATACCAAATAACATTATTTGTAAAGTTTAAACAATAATAATAAACGAGTTTTGTAGGGCTAGTTATGATTTTATAGCATTTTTAAAGCAAATTCATGGTAGTATATATATATATATATATATATATATATATATATATATATATATATATATATAAAAATGCTTTTATTATCATTGAAAAGTATAAAAATTTCAAAAGACGCGTTTTACTTTATATGAATAAAGCATCTAGCTATATATATATATATATATATATATATATATATATATATATATATATATATATATATATATATGCACACACAC